AGAAATGGACAACGCGCATGCGCAAGACTACGCAGACGGCCCGGGAAGACATGAACTGACGAGAAGACCGCGCAGACTCGTTGCGAGCATCCCCACGCCGTTTTGCAATTTTCTGCATTTACGAGACCACGGACTACCTCAGGTTGTAAGTAATGGACCCAATAATGTCGGAAATTTACCCAGTGACTTCCCGAAGCTAAGGGTTGATGGCATTAACTTGCAAGAATGGTATCAACAGCTCCAGGTTGTCTTTATGAAGGAAAGCTTACTATTTTTTATCACTAGTCCCCCAAAAAGACCTTGGACTCTAAAAATAGATTGTTTACACCATAGAGCATTTTTCTTAATAATATCTAGTGTGTCTCCTGCAATGTATCACAGCATTAAGCCAAATCTGACTGTTTCAGAAATTATTCAATGCATGTTTAATTTGTTTCACAGTGATAGTGTAGCTACCACCACAAGGATGTCTAAAGATTTCTTTTCATCTAGGATAAAACCAGGGGTTTCCATAGGTGAGCATTTAATATCTTTAAACAAAATAAGAGCTGAGCTGCATTTGAGGGGGGAGGTGATTTCAGACCAAACAATGAAAAGTGTTATTATCAACTCACTTGATCCATCATGGGACAATTTTATGTCACATTTAGACACAATCAATCTAGGATACTTATCCATAGAAAGTCTATCCAATAAATTGATAGCAGAAGACAATTCAAGAAGAAATCGTTCTAACAATCACACAGAACACAAACCATATAGGAAAGTAGCTTTCCAAGAAAAATATAATGAAACATTTAAATGTCACAATTGTGGATCCAGGGAACACAATAGAAGAGATTGCCCCAAGATTTCAAAGGAAAGACATAGGTCAGAATATAGGAACAAATACAATTATAGACAGTCTTCCATAGATAGACATAGATATAGAAGCCCACCAAATTACAAAGAGAATAGAGGGGGCAGAGATAATTCAAAGGATAGAAAATCTGGTTCACTGAATGGGTTAAATAAACAAGACAACACTAACATACAGCAAAATGAGAACAATAATTGGCTTATTGATTCTGGAGCAACTAATCACACCACTAATAACAAAAATATATTGTCTTCATTTACAGAAGATAAATTTGTAATAAAGGTAGCTAACCAAGAAAAGGTTCAAGTATTAGGTAGAGGGAATGTAACCCTGCCTGGTCTAGGAAAAATAGAGGGGGTATTGCTAATACCTGAAATACCTCATAACATACTAAGTGCCATAAAACTAAGTAGAAATTCTGACATTAACATTGTTTTTTCAAAAGGAAAAGCGACTTTAGAGAAGAATAAAATAAATATAGGCACTGTGATGATTAAAGGAGGCCTACCTTATCTGATAACAAAGGAAAAATGGCTGCATAACATTGATTCAAATATGGGAGATTGTATTGAAGTAGATGATGAAAATATTAGCAACAGTGATAATGATGAATGTAAAATATCTCATGATCACATAGATGCACACAATGAAAAAAAACCAAAAATAGGTAAGCCAATTCATGATGAGTGTGCTCACATCTTACATAGGAATTTAGGACATGCCAGTTTTCCTGTAGTGCAAAAAATGACTGAACACGCAGAAGGTGTTAAAATAAAAAATTGTGAAAACTATTTGGAATGCTCAGTATGTAAATCTACAAAACTAAAAACTAGTCCCAGGCCAAGAAAATCTACTAGATCAACTAACAAAATTTTTGATTTAGTACACATGGACTTAGTTGGTCCATTAACTCCATCAATCACTTATAGAAAACGTTACTTCTTGACAATAGTAGACGATTATAGCCGCTATGGATTTGTTTATACATTAAAACACAAAGATGAAACCTTTCAAAAATTTAAAGAATTTTACAAACGCATAGAAACACAACACAATATCAAAATAAAACAAATCATGACAGATAGGGGATGTGAATTCATGTCTAAAGAATTCTCCCAATGGTTAAAAGACAAAGGAATGTTACATTACACATCTAGTCCATTTTCTGCGTTCCAGAACGGGATTGCAGAGAGGAAGAATTCAACATTACAAACCATGATTAGATGCACATTGGAAGATGCTGGCTTAAGCAAACAATTCTGGTCAGAAGCCTTACATTATTCAAATTACACACAAAATAGAACCTGGTCCAGCATTGTAAATAAGACACCATATGAAGTGATGTATAATAGGAAACCAAAATTAGCACACATGCACATATTCGGAGTCACTGCAGACGTACACATACCTAAGCAATTAACAAGAAAGGGAGAAAACGTATCCAGAAGACTCAGATTTATGGGATATGAGACTGGCACTAAAGGGTACAGATTCATTGATAATAATAACAAATTTATAGTCTCCAGAACAGCTGTGTTCCATGAACAGGCCAACTGGTCTAAATTACATCTTAATGAAATATTTCCAAATAAATACAAAGATACAAAATCTCATGAGAAAGGGACCATAGAAAAGCAAAATATCAACAAATATAAAAACAAAACCAAAACTTGGACAAATAGCCAACACAAAATAAAGACAGACACACTAACAAAAAAGGAAGCAAGATATTTGCATGATAACGATAGTAAACCTGAAAAAACTATTAGAAACACCAGAAATCAAATGCCAAATAAATACAAGGATTATATAATGCACATGGATGGTGAGCCAACAACACCTAATACATATGAGGAAGTGTTAAAACTCCCTCGTGAAGAAAAAGAAAAATGGGAATTAGCGATGAAAAAGGAGATGGAAAGTTTACAAGGATTAAATGTATTTACACCTGCAATTGCACCTAAAGATAAAACAATTATTGGTACCAGGTGGATATATAAAATTAAGAACTTAGAGGGAGGCAATACTCTATACAAAGCCAGACTAGTTGCACAAGGTTATGCACAGAAATATCCGGAGGACTATACTGACACGTATTCCCCCACAGTAAGAACAGAGAGTGTCAAAACAGCTCTAGTGGTAGCATCAGCACTCAATCTTGATGTATTTCAATATGACATACAGACTGCGTATCTACACGCAAAACTAGATAAGGAAATATACGTAAGAGCACCTCACAGTCAATACACAAACAAAAATGAGATTTGGTTGTTAAACAAGAGTTTATACGGGTTAAAACAATCTGGTAAACGATGGTATGATTGTTTAGTAAAAGTACTTAAAACCATGGACTTCAACGCTACCACTGCTGATAACTGTTTCTTTGTCAAAAAGGGTGATGATTACATTGAATTTGTATTGATTTATGTGGATGACATTTTATACATAGGAAAACATAAAGAGAGAAGAGAAACTTTTGTAACTAAGCTAAATGAACATTTCTCATTAAAATCCCTAGGCAAAGTAAACAAATATCTTGGTGTTCAAATTAATAAGACTAGAAGGGGATTCAAACTTACTCAGAGAGATAAGATCATAGAACTTTTAAATAAATGCAATTTAAACAATGCCAAACCTTGTGATACTCCTATGCAAACTGATTTTCTAAGAAATACTGATGAATCTTCCCCCGAATTCAAGGATAACACATTTTATAGATCAATCATAGGTTCACTTCTTTATATATCTAATTGGACAAGACCAGATATCGCCTTACCACTCAATTTATTATCCAGACATGTCAGCAAACCAACAATGTATCACTGGGAAGCTGTTAAAAGAATTTTAAGATATCTGAAAAGTACACTAGACTTTTGTTTAATGTTAGAACCTAATGACAATAAAGAACCAAAGCTTACATGTTACGCAGATGCGGACTGGGCTGGAGACACCTCATGTAGAAAAAGTACATCTGGTTATATATTCCTCTTAAATGACTGTCCAGTTTACTGGTACACTGGTAAACAGGAACTAGTGGCCACTTCAACGACAGAAGCGGAATATGTTTGTTTATCCAAAGCTGCAAATAACCTTGTATGGTTTAATGATTTAATTTCAGATGTTTGGAAAAAACCTGCTTTGCCTTTTGTTATGCATGAAGACAATAAAGCAGCCATTGAAATATCTAGATCTGATGCTATTGGACAAAGGTCCAGACACATAGATATAAAATTTAAACATGTGAGACAATTATCTCAGGATGGATTTATCAAAGCAGTGCATTGTGATACTTCAGAACAATTAGCTGACATATTGACAAAGCCTTTACCTTCTAAGCAACATAAATATTTAACTTCTAAGTTGTATGTTTTGTATTGTCCTGAATCTGAATGTAATTGGTGTTGCATAACGAATCGGCATTTAGAGGGGGATTTGTCAGATGTAAATGCCTTATTCTCTAATGTGTAAATAGTATATGAACGGGGTATCAGGGGTTAACTTATTCTCCACTTCTTAATGTATTCATAATTCACCACTCCCACATATAGCTCCACCCATTGTATATATAAGGAGCTACATGCACCCTTTTCCTTGCTTCTATCTGTAAATATTCAGTGAATATAGAATGCCTATTGTAAATAAAAGAAAATATATTTAAACCTTTAACTCTTACTAATCTTATTGAGTCTGATCCTGAAAATATTGCAACAGTATACTTAACAGCTCTTAGGTCCTTGGTTAGGACTTGAACTAAGTTAAATTTTTATCAGTCCCAGACTGTGAATAGAATTGAAGATTAAATCAATCATCATCATCATCATCATCATCATCATCATCATCATCAACTACTTTAGTTTGTCAGAAGAATAATTTTGGGTTCCAACTCGAGCCAGGGTTGCGAAAGAATAAATAAAAATGACATGCAGACAGCTGCAAGGAAAGGACAAATATTTATTTCCAAAAGCAAAGAGGTTTGCCTTGGGGGCAACTGCAGAGAAATGAGATACAGTGACATAGGGGAGCTTGTCCTTGGTGTTGTCCTCTTAAATACCAACTAGCTGTCAGAGCACAACCAATAGCAAGCACAGATACTCCCGTGTTTACGAGGCCACGTCCCTTAGCCAATCCCCGGGCAGCCCTTGTTGCCGGGAGCTGCCGAACACAACATGTACGTGCTGATTTTAGGGTAACACTTGAGAGGCGTAGAGAGTGTGTGTAAGTACACATCATCTATGATATTTATTTTTGTGAATATGTAGTTCTATTGGGAGATCATTTCTGTGAGAGAAAAGTTATTTCTCATTTGCTGTGCCTGTTAATGGCTTTTGGAATGGCCAAGTGGGTGAGCCAATCAGAAGGCAGCTGATGGGTTTGAATCTCCAGGGCTTTTATGTTCCCTCCCCTAACTGCCACAGTTGACAGTATAAAAGGAGATTCTTGACAGAACACCGTTGGCAGTCCAAAAGGCAGTTCAGAAGGCAATTGGCAGTTTGGAGAGTTCTGTTCAGCTCTTCTGTTAGAAAACTGTGGGCAGTTTAGAAGTCAGTTAGAAGCGCAGTTCTAATGCAGTTCTGATGGTTTACAAAATCTTTCTTCTGAGGAAGAATAGTTGGAGCTAACATCGCTTAGTGCGATTACATATATATACTGTATATAGCTGACAGGATATTTATTCTTATGTAAATAAAAACATTTATTGTTAACTGCTTCAGAGGCTCATTTATTAAAGTAGATCTTAATAGAGATAAAGGTTTTATGGTACATTTTATTTATTTATTTATTTATTAAATTTATATACCGCCCTATTCCTGAGGGACTCAGGGCGGTGAACAGCGAACGATAAAAATACATGTAATACAAACGTTAAAAAAAAACAAACCAATTAAAATATACTAAACACTCTGGTCCTAGATAATTCAAGACATCCCAGTTTAAAATAAAATCAAAAGCAATATAAAGGGAAAGTTAGGCCAGGCCGGCCTGCTGAAACAGGAATGTTTTGAGGGCACGGTGGAAAGTGCGCAGATCCGGAATCTTCTGTATCTCTGGGGGGAGCTCGTTCCAGATGGTGGGTGCCCTCACAGAAAAGGCTCTCCCCCTGGGGGCCGCCAGTCGACACTGTTTGGCTGACGGCACCCTGAGAAGCCCCTCTCTATGGGAGTGTACTGGGCAGTGAGAGGCTATTGGTGGCAGAAGGCGGTCTTGTAAGTACCCCGGTCCTAAGCCATGGAGCGCTCTAAAGGTGGTAACTAAGATCTTGAAGCGCACCCAGAAGACCACAGGGAGCCAGTGCAGCTCGCGCAGGAGGGGAGCCACATGGGAGCGCCATGCTGCTCCCATAACTACCCGCGCGGCCGCATTCTGGACCAGCTGGAGCCTCCGGGTGCTCCTCAAGGGGAGCCCCATGTAGAGAGCATTACAGTAGTCCAGGCGTGAAGTGACGAGGGCATGAGTGACCGTATTTAACGAGTCCCGATCCAGAAAGGGACGCAACTGGAGAATAAGGCGAACCTGATAAAAAGACCTCCCGGCCACAGCCGTCAAGTGTTCTTCTAAAGACAGCCGTGAGTCCAAGAGGACGCCTAAGTTGCGAACCCTCTCCGTGGGGGGCAATGACTCATCCCCAATAGTCAGTGATGGCACCAACTAACTATATTGGGACACCGGAAACCACAGCCACTCGGTCTTGGATGGGTTGAGCCTGAGTCTGTTCCTCCCCATCCAGATCCGTACAGCCTCCAGGCACCGGGACATCACTTTAAGGGCATCATTGGAGTGGTCCGGGGTGGAGATGTATAGCTGAGTATCATCAGCATACTGATGATACTTCACCCCAAAACCACGGATGATCTCACCCAGCGGCTTCACATAAATGTTGAACAGAAGGGGTGAGAGAACCGACCCCTGTGGCACCCCACATACAAGGGGCCTCGGGGTCGACCTCTGCCCCCCTATCAACACAGACTGCGACCGATCAGAGAGAAAGGAGGAGAACCACCGCAACACGGTGCCCCCCACCCCTAACTCTTCCAACAGGTACAGCATGATACCATGGTCGATGGTATCAAAAGCTGCTGAGAGGTCTAATAGAACCAGGACAGAGGAGCAACCCCTGTCCTGGGCCCTCCAGAGATCATCTACCAATGCGACCAATGCCGTTTCCGTGCTGTATCCAGGCCTGAAGCCCGACTGGAACGGATCTAGATAAGCCGATTCATCCAAGTACTGAGGAAGCTGTCGTGCTACCACACTCTCAACAACCTTCGCAACGAAGCGAAGGTTGGAGACTGGACGGTAATTAGCCAACGCTGCTGGGTCCAGGGAAGGCTTCTTGAGGAGAGGCTTCACCACCGCCTCTCAAGGCGGCGGGGAAGGCACCCTCTCTCAAGGAAGCATTTATAATCCCCTGGAGCCAGCCTCGTGTAACCTCCCGAGAGGCCAGCACCAGCCAGGAGGGACACGGATCCAATAAACATGTGGCCGCGCTCAGTCTGCCCAGTATCTTGTCCACGTTTTCCGGAGTCACAGAATCAAACTCTTCCCAGGTAATATTCTCAAGACTTGCCTCCATCCTCCCTCCCGAATCTACCCAGTCAGAGTCCAAATTTTCCCGAATCTGAGCGATTTTGTCATACAGATATTGTACAAAGTCCTCGGCTCTACCGTCCAAGGGGTCCTCCCGCGCTTCCTGGTGGAGCAGGGAGCGGGTCACCCTAAACAGGGCGGCCGGGCGATTATCTGATGATGCAATAAGAACGGAAAAATAGTTGATTGATTTATTTGATTTATTTCCTCCACGACAATTTCAATTAACTCTATTTGTTTTTACAGACCTTCTCCTTTGATATGTGGATTTCGTCTGGATAACTTATTTGGGGGTTTGAGGAAGTTTGACTAAAAGATTTTCCCCCATTTGCTACTCTTTAATCAAGCAAATGCTTGATTAACTTAGTTTCAGCTTGACTGTCAATTATGTAGCAGAGACACTGATTTTCAGTCCATTGTGGATTCTGTTAATGTTTAAGGAAAGATGGAGACAATATAAAGAATAAAATATATTTTGATATAAAACTTATCATATGGCAAAACTTAGATATTAAATACCATTTTTGCAGTGAATTCAACAAAATTTATGTACAATATACAGTATAGTTTATTGAATAGCCCGAAGGCCTTTTCAAACAAAACAGAAAAGAAAAAGGGAAAAAGATAAAACAGTTACAAAAATAGTAATCTAAACATATATGATAGATGACATTAAAATTTTACCATATCAAATTTCAATAGCTAAGTTGCCAAGAATTTATGTACAAATAAAAGATACCTTGTATTGTCCACTGTTCAGTACTTTGGAATTTTGTAACTATAATCTTACCCTGTATTTATTATTTCTGATACAAATCTGCTTGCTTAGCATATATAAGCTTGAAGCAGATGCTATGGGTTTTCTTGGAAATCAGGTAGAGAAACAGGGAATAGCACCCTCTCACTCTGGACACTTGTCTTCTAAGGTCAGGATGGCTTCCATTTTATTCAGATTTATAAAGCAGTAAAATCTGGGGTCTTCCATAGACCCTTTAGGGAGGGGTAAACCAGAAGTGAAATGCTAACGGTTCGGACCGGTTCTCCTGAACTCGTAGTAAAAAAATGCTACCGGTTCGGGTGAACTAGTATTTTTGATGATCAGCTGGGCGACGATCAGCTGTGACACGTGATTTAGATTAGCTAGAATCATAGGATTTCCTGCTTTCTAGCTAATCTAAATCGTGTGGCACAGTGGATTCCACCCCCTCGCTGTTCTACTTACCTTTGCAGACTCAGAAGGCTTCAAAATGTTCTTTTTTTAGCACTGCATGGGAGCACTTCAGGCTCATATGTGCGCAAAGTGTGCGCTTGGTAGCAGACTCACAGAACCGGTAGCAGACTTCAGAGGATTTCACTGCGGGGGTAAACCGATTAGTGGATAACATTTTTGGCATTTCCTGATGTATGGTTTATTTTAATAGGTTTATTCTTTTTTAAAATATTACTTTTTTAAAAATATTTACAATACAGTGAAGTACAGTATTGTATTGTATTACTGTACATAGAGTGAAGAAAGTATAAAGGAAACTACTTATAGTATGTGCATGTGCCTTGCAGTCAGACCTGATTTCTGGACCTGTAGTTTTCTTGGCAACATTTCAAAATTCAGAAGCAGTTTGCCATTGTTTTCTTCTTAGGGCTAAGAGTGAGTGATTGGCGCAAGATCACCCAGCTGTTTTATGCCTAAAATTGTCTCCTGGTTTCAATTTCTAGCCTTAATCCCCACACCAGACTGGTTCTCTAAACTGGAGAGATTATAAATAATCTAGGAACCTGGAACTGGATCAGTGGTGGGTTGCTCCTGGTTCATCCCAGTTTGGGCAAACCGGTAGTGGCGGTGGCGGGAGGCTCCACCCACCCGCCCAGATGTCATCAAAAATTATCTGTGCATGCGCAGAAACGTCGCATGCTCACAAAGCAAGCATGCACGCCTGTGCCCTACTGGTAGCGAACCGGTAGTGCCGGGTTTTGAAACCCACTACTGAACTGGATAATAAACATTCATTATGGTTTTGTTAGTAATAAGATTAACTAATGGGGTAAAAGTTGTATTATAATATTTATGCCCTTTTGAATAGTCAGTTTTCTTTTAGAGCAGCTGTCTAAGTATTTGCCACTTTATGGAAATATTCAATCCCTTTCTTGTTTTCTAAGACCCTGCTACTATCAGTCTGATTACACCCAACAATCATACAAAAAAAAAAAAAAAAAAAAATCCGCACCAGCTCTTATATAATGTAAGGTGCCTTTAGGTTATTAACAAAACTTAATAAGCTATGTTGTAATTGATAGGACTGAAGTGAAGTGCAAAGTTTGATGCACTTCACACCAAATATAAGCAAATCTTCATATAAATACTTCTAATTGTTATCTTGATTTAGGAATATTCCTCTTGTGTAAACATTTTAAATACTAAAGCCCTTTCCTTCCAATAGCCCTTGCTATTGTGGTAGAGAAATTTAGTAGGAAGTAAGAGACTAATGAGGAAATTTTTGTTTCTTGTTATAAAACATTGATTGTTATATTATTTACTGATACCTATAAACTGCATTAGTATGTACTATCAATTATTCTTCCATACTACTATTTTTGATACTAATAAAATAGTACTTTAGATCAGTGGTGAAATC